TCGTATGACAAATATTTCAGGCCATCAAGGAAAAGCATTTTCAACAACCAGAACGCGTCAAAATCGTTTCCAAAAAACAGTTTCCGAACGCCGTCCAAAAGACCTCTATCTAACAGCACGACGGCGTACGAGTTGTAAACAGTGTGAGTAGAATTTGTAAAGTAGCCATGGCCGGTGAGCACCGTCTCAAAGCTGGGGTGGTGCGGGATAAAGCCGACCCAGTCGTCGTGCGGTTTCGATGCGTTGGGGGCAGTAGTCGTGGTGTGCGATGACGCAGCGGTCATGTACAGAATAGAACTGTTAGCATTCAACGTGACGTTCAGCACCGTCTGCTTCTGGTAGATGAACAGTGGAAGGCCGCGTACCTTAGCCCGTTCGTAGCGCTGCTCCATACGACTCGGCATGAACGCCACCAAACCGACGCGGAACTCCTTGCAGTACTTGTGCAGCAACTGTCGATTCCACTCGTTCAGATTCAAATACTTGTAAAGGTTTTCGAAGATAATCACCGCATAGCGGCCCTTCTTCAAGTTGGTCAACGACGGAAGGTTCTTACGCACTAACTGCACCTTGTACGCGATTTTAGCATAATTCAAAACCGTCTTCACCTGGTTTCCGATCGTCGAGTACTGCGATTCGACCAACAGCAAAACCTTCGCCTCCTTCCTCGACAGAAAAGCGCTCTCCGTCAAATTCGCCGTGCCCAGCTACAAATTTGTAAGTCAATGTTTCATAATATTTAAATATTATGCCAAGCGATGCGCATGCTATGATCATTAAGCACTAGGGTACAAAATCGCTTTTTAAGTGGCAAGAGATGTGAGCAATCCAACGAACATAGCAAGCGACAAACAATGGGGGGCGAAGCAAACAGAAATAAAATAGAGGGAGTGAAAATTAATGAAGTAAAATGAATAGTGGAGAAATACTTACATTCGTCTAAAATAGAAGTACGCTGATTCGCGGTGACTATAGGTAAGATGACACTGTCGGTCCTAAGTTAAATCCAAGTCGAAGACCGTCGTTTTTCATTACGTCACTTTTAGAAGACGAATCATTTCAAAGTCTAGTCATGAGTCATGATTGGTGTTCACAGGTCAGCTACTCAATAGCTATCCTGAAGGAAAGCGTTCGTGTCATATGACCAGCTTAGAGAGTTGCAAGTTGCTTTGTTCCCTCTGCAGCGGACATAAATAAACCTTAGATGCTCTAAGACACGCTTCTGTGCTCTAATTCAATATTCATCTTTGATCTATTTCCCTAACTTTCCAAAAACGACGAACCCATGCCACACGCAACGGTAAAGATGACGGCTTGAGTGGAGGAATATGGCTGAAAAACGTTCAAATGGGCTGCCTTAATCCGGGTAAGAGTACTGCCACATACAAAACGTCGCATGTATATTGACCAGCAAATAGCTTCAACTCTATTATACATAAGAGACTATTAGGTACTGCACCTAGTAGAGTACTATGTATAGTAAGAAAGTCAAAAGACGTCCCAACCTGTATTTCACAGATGAGATTAGCTGACTTCTGCGTGTGAAGACGCCTCCAGTGTTCAGAAATTACCCTCACTTACCATATCTCAGTTAAACTTTGCAATTCGTAAAGGATGTCTCTGTTTCTTCATCGGTGCATTTGTACAACATACTTGTGTCTTAACGGCTCAATTATGCAGCAACCTCAGATACTGTTTTTAAACCCACAGAATAAATTACATCGATCTGAATCAAGGAATGAACAAGAGAACCAAAAAAAGAAAGATAAGGAAAGAATAAACATAAGGACGATTAAAATGACAGAAACAATGAAAATAAAGAAAGTAAAGATGATTATGGCAATGAAGATGAAAATATGATGACAATTAATATGACGATGATAGAGACTATGAGAACCATGATGAGAATAGTCATAAAGACGATGAAGATGAAGGAGACAAATGCAAAAATAAGGAAGACAATGATGAAAAACAAACAGAAAAAGATGATAAGAAAAGAAGGACAGGATACTAATGGTGTTGTTTCGTTACGACTTACCATGCGCATAAACGATGGACAGAAACAAAAATCTACTGACAGTTACCTGTATCAGTGCATCGGTAGCAGAAGCTGTAGCCAGACAGCTAGGCTTTACATCCAGAGTCAAGTGCTGGTATATGTACATTCCATCGTTTTGGTACTGGTTACTGATCTGGTAGACTATGTAGATTAGTATCAATAAGCAAAAGGTGTAAAAGATGGTAATCGGCCGTCGGCGAATGCAGCCATGGCCGCAGCCACAGAAGCAATGGTTGAATGTCGACGTCAGGGTCATAAGTTAGAAAACCGGCAAAACTGGCGGTCGGTAATTCACTTTGGAAAAGGACATCGAAGCATTTTTTCAGTTTCACTTTAGGAATCGACCGTTTAAAGATCATCACACGACGTCGATTCGTGGTTATCAACGGATATATTCCATCGTTGATGGAAATAGCTGAAAAGCATAAATTAATTACTAATCCATTAGTTTGTAATTAATGAAAAACTGAAAACGGAATTTTAGCAATATAATTGTCAGTAACAATTCGCATATACGAGTGGAAACCATCGCAAATCGACTCACATCGATTTCGAGCTAGGGATGACTGAATGTGCTGAAGTAGTTAGCTCTAATCGCTGAAATGGGTGACGCCCCGACTGATACTATCGACCGATAGATTAGTGAAGCACAAACAACTTCTTTTTATTCTCTCCACTCAGTTCGACGCGCAAGCCAAGCAATCAGAAATTCATATATACATGTACAGTATGTAATTCGGCACAAATTACATATAATACAAAATGTTAAACACGACAGTCTTGAAAGAATTGACTTCACATGTGTACCCTATGAGCAATTTGCCCAATGTTTCCCATCGCTCTAAATTCGTATTTAGAGAACGTGACTTACAGAAAAACTGTCTACAAGTCGTTGCCTCATATGCGGATAAGTTGCGATCCAAAACGGGCAACGATCCCGTTAGGCAAGATAAACGTGTCGAATATATCCTTTGTAAACTATTCGGATCAAGAACATTATATACTAGATGTTATGCATCGTTTGTACCCTAGTGCATACGGTATTTGCTTACTATACAAATTGCACACAAACTGTTTAAGTGAAGTAAATCTCTTCAAGACTACCATGACGAAAACGCATATAACCGCATAAAGAATTTAAATATTTTAAAATTCTACATAACTCCGCCATGGCCGGTCCCAAGCCCGGATGAGAAACGAGGAGGGTTGGAGACCGTGGCAAGTCTCC